AGGGACCCAGGGGACCCCGGTCCAGGCTCCCGGGAAAAGCCAGGCCATAAGCTTGGGTGGCCTCACAGCAGCGGGACGTGATGTGGCTCACCTGGTGGTAGTGTCAAACTCGAAGGGAAAAATGATGTCGCTGCTGTTGCAGATCTGGCAGATGAAGCCTCGCTGGGTGCACAGGTCGCAGCTGTAGACATGATGGGAAGCGAACTGGAGCAGAGACTGCAGGAAGGTCTCGAAGACGCCGTCGGCTATCTGCGGGGCAGAGAGACGTCAGGCAGGCGTGGAGCCCGTCTCCCGTCGGGTTTGCGCTGCGCAAAATCCACACTGCACCCATGCTTCGTGCTGCCAGGTGAAGACAAGGCTGTCCTCCAAAAACGACCCCCACCCCACGTGCCTGGGTGGCGAGGGGACCCCCAGCGAGCACGGGCAGCAGCACCCACGCCTGCCAGGACAGGGCTCCCGGCTTGGAGTCGATGCGAAACCCAACTGCCCATCACCTCCAACGCTATTTGCAACAGATACAAGTGTGCATGGAGATGCACTAGCAGCAACGCTGGCTTGGAGAGGCGCACATTTATCTTGCATGCTCTCCATGGTTCTCGGAGGATACAGGCCCGTGCCAATTGTTTTGGCAAATTAAAATAAAGGGAATTATTTGCTTTTAAGCTGATGTGCAAGCTTGCAGAGTGCACGTGGTGGATGAGAGCAAGGCAAAAGGAAAACGAAGCTGTTTGAAACCTTCTACTGATGACGACGAAGTGCCATGCTCAACAGAAACCGGGATGTTTTCACCAGCAAAACCCCTACGACCACGCAAAACTCTCACCTGCCTCAGATCAGTGACGCTGTATTTGTGGGGACACTCCAAGAGGTAGTGCCTGTGATCAAGCCTGCAAAGAAGCACAGGGAGAAAGGTGGTAGATGGTTTCCACCCCACCTGCATAGCTTTGGAGCGAGGGGGAGCCTGGACGATGCAGACTCTTGAAGAAAATCACCGCAGACCTGATTTTCGCATCGCGCCACACATCCCAAATCCTGCCACTGGAAATCACGTGAGAGCATTTCAAAGGGGGGAAAAAGAAAATAAATATCTCATCTATTTTCCCAGGTGTTTCCTGTCCAGCCAGAAGCTCCCTGGTCAGGAAGGTGTTTCCTGAGTCACATATCAATGTGTCGACCCAGCCAACAGACGGATAACTCCTCAGAGCAGATGACATGGAGCTGAAAACCAGCCCATGCCTTGGCAGCGTCGCTCCCCGCTCCAACGGCGAGCGATAAGGAGGACCAGGAGACCGTCGCGGTGCAAACAGGGGGGTGCAGGCGTAACGTCACCCAGAGAGGGACCTCACCGCTTGCTCAGCTCCTTCAGGGCCCCGCTGCGGCACATGATGAGATAATCTCCCAGCAGCTTCAGCTGCTCCCTGCTCCGGCGGATCCGTCCCATCCTCTCCACGTGGTCATAGAGGCTCTCGTTGACCAGCTTCAGGTCGATCAGCGGCTGGTTACGGATCTGCGTGAGGAACTTCAAAGCCTGCTGGCAAACCTGGGGCAAAGAGAGGCAAGAGGTGGCCGTGCAGCGAGGAGCAGCCCAGGAGGCTCGGAGGGAGGTCTCGGGTGGACATCTCCACCTCTGCTGATGGTGGCAACGTTCAGAGGGACCTTCAGGAAGCGTAGGCAGATGCAGGAGCATTTTCCTGCGACCCGCACCAACCGAGCCTGGACTTACCCCTCGTTTCGTCAGATCCCAGTTGTGGATGAGGCGCGAGGGAATCACCGTCTCCTCGTCCCGGTGGCAGCTGTCGCAGTAGTAGAGACCAGAGAAGGCGCAGAGCTTGGGCTTTGCGAAGGAGAAGCCGATCTGCCTGGAGCAGCCTGCAGGGAGCAGGGATGAGGCGGTGAGAGGGGACCCAGGCTGCCCCAAGAGCTGGTTCCCAGCGCTGCCAGGACGGGGGGAGAAACTTTTGGGAGGGGGAATGGAGCAAGGAAGTTTTGGAAGGGCTGGAGATCCGCTAAAGCACTTGTAGGACGTTCGGTGAGAGGTCCCCAGCCCCTTCCCCGTGGATTTAAGGCCACAATGGTCCAACAGGAGCTGCTTCACTTTTTCCTCCATAAAAAAGGAGTCTGGACTATCCCTGAACCCACTTTTATCCATCAAGTGGTTCAATTGTTTCATTTTTTTTTAGGGAAAGTGAATTCTGGAAACATCCCAGCGGTTTAGGGAAGAACCTACATCCCACCTGCCTGCCCCATCACCTCCTCCCATAGCTTTGCTCCATTTTGCCTTCCCTTAGCTCTTCTCTTTCCTGCTGCCGCTGCAGGGTACCAAAACCACATCTGCAAGGGATCTTCATCCTCAAGGGATGAGTTGGGGATGGATTAAGCAAAAAAACCCCTTTATTATAGCGGGGGTAACCCAGGAGGAACCCAGCTTGGGTCTCAGGGGAAACCTGCAGGGTTTTTATAGCGACTTGAAAAGCGAGCGCATCTCATTTGGAGTTGGGAAGGCAGGAAAACCCTTGGGGCTATTTTTAATGGGTTCAGTTCTGTAAAATAACTGACCAAGAATAAGCGAGCATCTGCCATCCTCGAGGAAGGCCTTGCCACCCCGTCCTTCACACTTCAGGGTAGCTGGAGCGCATCCCCCCCAAAAAATATTCATGGAGGTCAGATGTTGCGCTCTGAATTAATAAAAAAAAAACCCAAAACCTTTTATCACTCATTATGCCCTGACAGGTAAGGAAACACCTCCTGTGCCAGGCTCAGGTGTTGGGCTGGGAGGGAGGCGAAAGCAGGGCAGGCAGTCCCCTAAGAAAACCTACACATAAAAACTGAGAATTTGTCTTTTTGGCTTGCTGCTTCCATCTGTTGGTAGGTGGAAGATGCAGGACAGAGCCTGGAGGGGAACGTAGAGACCAAACAGAACGGAAAATATATATATAAAAAAGAAGAGAAATTAAAAGAAGGAAAAAAAAACCTGCTGGAGGGTACAAGAAATATAGCTGAAGCAGGAGAGAAATCTGAAGTTTAATTAACTTACCAAGGTAAAGAGCAAATTATACTTCCTGTGGAGGTCAGCGAGTGTTATCTTATTAAACCAGCATCGCCCCGTGTGCCGAGAGGCGTTAGTGGAAGGGTAAATGAATGTTGTTTTGCAAAATCAGCTTGTCACACCCATCGCAATATTCGCTCCTGTGCTGCATTACCAGAAAAACAGCATTTGCCCTTGACTGCACTTTCCCTGCAAGCTGGGGCCACAAAATGCCCAGGCAGAGAGTCCTGGGCCTCTTGGTCCACCTAAGGTTGCCTTCAAGCCAAGACCCACCCTTGTCTGCACCACAAGCATCTTAAACAGGAGCCCAGTAGCAGCCCAGCTGGAGCCGTGCGGGGGTGGGACAGGGATCCAGTGCGGGGGGACTCACCCTGCGCACACAGACCACCAAAGGTGCCACTGATGTGGGATGCGAAACCCCACCGACGGGCTTTGGGGCCACCTGGGGTTTGGATGGGGAAACCAGCAGCTGGCCTGCAACGGGTTGGCAGGACTCAGGACATCTCTAATTTGATGTCACCTCATTAACACAACACCATCCTCCAAGATGGAGCTGGGTTTCTTGTCTTTAGACAAGCCAACGTATACCTGCACAGATGAAGCTCTGCGAGTCCAGGCCCTTCTCCACGGGGATGGCCACCAGGTATTGCAACAGGAAGCCATTTTCCTTCACGATGTTCTTCAGGACGACCTGGGAGTGCCCGTCCAAGCTGCCGCCCAGCGTCAGCGCCTCCTCCGCACTCTCCAGGTAGGCCATGAGCACCCCTCGGACCAGCTCCCTCCACGAGGCCGCTTCCTCTGCGTTCTCGGCCTGCAGCTTCAGGACAGCTTTGGAGGTTATCACCTTGAAGAACGCGGGTCCCCCGAGGCTCGTGTCTGGAAGAATGTCCTGGATGGTCTCTATACCGTAACTGTTGCTTAAAATTTTGTCATTGCTTCTGACTTTAAAGCACTTCAAAGTTTCTAAAGACAGGCTAAAAATAAAGGGGACCCAGGTTTTGTCTACGTCCATGTACAGAACAGCCTCTTTTATTGCATCCAGCTCCGGTTCGTGAGCTGGAGTCCAGTCAAAGCTGTTCCCAGGCACGTCGCGGTACTGGAGAAGAGCAGCAGAGTCGCTCTGGATGTGTTGGCCTTCACCGCTGTCCTCCGGATACTCCAGTGTCTCCCACTCCTCCTCCTCCAGCTGAGGCCGGCACTTCTGCAGCGCCTCACGGATCCTGTCCAACCAGTCCTCGGCCTCGTCTCGAGAAGGAGCTCGTAGGTAGAGTTTTTTCCCCAGGAAAACCAGCTCGAAACGGCCGTCCGAGTGCGTCAGCGCCAGCGACTCGCACCGCAGCAGGGAATAGCTCTCGACGCAGATGCGGTCCTCGTGGTCCAGGAAGAGCCGGAGCTCCAGCGGCGACAGCTCGCAGGAAAACTCCTTCCATATCCCCATGGCTCCTCTCCGCTCCAGGCTGCCCAGCTTCAGGAGCCCTCGGAAAGGGTTGGAAAGACCTGGGGCAAAAGTGGCTGTCTTAGTTTAACCAAAAATGGAGAAGCTGGTGGAGAGAGGAAAGCCAACGGGCAGCTCACAGTGAGCAACTGGAGGCATCGCAGCTTTGAGAGCCAGTCATGGAATCATAGAATCATGGAATCGTTTAGGTTGGAAAAG